AGAGATAGGCAATTTGAACGTGTTTCTTCACTCTCTCGTAAGTGAATGGCATTTAAAAATAATTTCGAATTTTAAAATTTTCAACTATTCATTAAAATAAGAAAAAAAAAATGTATGCATTAAAAGAAATTTTAAAAAATACTTAATTAGAATGAAAATTGAAATTATTAAATTTTTGTTAAATTTGCCGAAAATATAAAAAATTATTTGAAAAATTTCGTCAAAAAGAATGACTAATTTCGAATTTTTTAATCCTTACAGCCCTTTAATTGAAGATTTTTTGATTTTATCAATATTTTTCCTTCAACAAACTACTTCTATTAACGTTAAATTAATTTTATTATTCGTTGTTTTTTTGTCATTTCCAAGTTTATAAAAATTTACAATGCTAAATTTCCATTGTTATCAAATTAATTATTAATTTCTTGTAAAATCTTAAATCGATGAATTTTTTTAGTAAAATGATACATATTGATATATGTAAATTTATTTATATATAAATATAAATTTATAATAAATAATAAATACTAAAATTATTTATTAAATTTAAATTTAATATAATTTATATAAATTTGAATAAATTGCTTAAAAATTTTTTATCGAAAAAGATTGGAGCAATACTCGGACGATTAACTTATCTAAGATTAATTTAAGTTGTGCAAATTTGTATTAAAAAAAAAGTAAATAAATAATGTGCATAATAATTTGGAAATATGCAGAAGAAGAGATTGGTAAAATTGTGTGATAAGATTAAATTTACAATCTGATAAGATATTTACTATATGTTAATCATAATTAATGATAAATTAATGATAATGATAATGATTAATCTTTTTTGACTAATCATTTTTCAATTTTATTGGAAAAAATTGGAACTTTTGAAATAGAATTGAAAATTGAAACAAATACTTTAATATAATTTATAGAAGCAAAATTTTATTTATTAGTTGTTTTTTCTTTATTTTTTTATGAAATTCTTGAAGAAAAGAGATTTCTTGGCTTATTGAAATAAAATTTATAAATTTTTATTTTTTTAATATGTCTATTGAAAATTCCAAATGAAAAAAATTGAAATGTTAGATTGATTCGGATGTAATTGATTCATTCGATGTGTAAAATTTAATTCTGATTTTTGAAATTCTTTTACGATGACTGTCAACGATGATCATCGATATTTTATAGAATTCTAAGCATTGATAATAATCGAATCGATTGAATAAATTATCTTATCAAATAATTGCAAAAAATTTTTTTTTGCTCAAAATTAAATTTCAATTTTTAATTTTTAATAAAATGCTACCATCAATCAACTACAAATTGTTAAACGATAAATATTGTTTGCTTCTTTGAAAAATATTTATTTTTTGGTTCAAAAAAATAAAAAAATGGAAATTAAATAATTGAATTCTTGGTGAATCAGTCAAAAATTAGTTGGTTGATTCGAAAAAAAGTCGCAATGTCATTGTTCATGATTCTTGATGATTAAATTCGAATTAAAAATAGTTATGCGTAAATTCCATAAAATATTATTGCATACCACTCGCTTTTAATGAATCTTTGATAACGCTTATCATTCACCTTATCCAAGTTTGTTTAATCCAATTGAAATTTGTTAGCGATTCTAAAAAAAAAAACGGCATAACACCGCCATCCTCTGCCATCCATAGGCACTTTTATGATTCAATTGAGTTGAGTTGGTGAATCCATAAAAAAAATTTAATTTCCAACAATTAAATATTTTGATTAATTTGTTAAAATTAAAATAAAATTTTTAAAAATTTAATTTTTTTGCAATATTTTAATGTTTCAAAAATAAATAAATAAATTTATTGTCAGACAAATCTTTTTCAAAAAATTTTTCCCAAAATTTTTTTTTTCATTTTTATGCCATAATAATCGTAATTATTTATTTAAAATATTTTTAATATTTAATATTTGTTTGATATGCGTGAAGAAACCACAAGAACTGGCGACATATCTTGCAAATTACGAATCCCTTGGGTTAATAGTAAAGAGAATAAAAAAAGAGAGCATAGCGGTGGATAGTGAATTGGATAGAAAAGTGATATTTTCAGGAAAAATATCGAATCGAGAAGTCTTAGAGAAGTAGCGAACCAGGCTAGCAATACTACAATACAGAGGCCATCTCTATCCCGCAATTTTTGAGGAGAAAGAATCTCAAATAATCCAATAATCCTTATCCTTGTTGCCTTTTGCCTTTTAATAGCTGAAAAATTTAAAACTTCATAGAAAATTCGCTTGCAAAATTCGAAGATATTCGAGAGCGGAAATTTTTCCTTCCCAAATCACTGCCGTTTTAAGTAGAATCCTAGGAGTGAAGTTTTGGCTAATTCTGAGCTGCTAGTGAGAATGATTCGTTCACCTAATTGTAGTTTCAATTTCTACCAATTTTTTTTTCCCGCGGATTCGCCTTATAGAAAAATAAAGGAAAATTATTTAAAATCAAAAAATTGGTTTTTATTTCAAAATTTGAATTAGACAATTAGGCAAAAGGCGCTTTTAAGGCTTTTACAATGGATTTTTTAAATAATATGAATTACTGATAAGAAAACAGAAGCTTATCAATGCTCAAATTTATTTATTTATTCTTTTTTCGATTTCGAAAATTCTTTTCGTTATTCAATTACGCTTTTTTTTTTTTTATCGTTTAATTTAATTCATCGATTTTAATAGAAAAAGTATTTAAATTATTTTAATAGAATTTTATCGAATTTTTCTGAAAAAAATTGAATTATTAAATAATCGAATTCTTCAAATATTATTGACAGTTATAAATGACAATGATTTTATTATATTATTTACACTTTTTTAAATTGAAATTTAATTACAGTAATACGAGAATAATTAAGAAATCAATTTATCTTATGATAAAAAGAATTGATAAAGCGATAATAATAATAATAACAAGCACAATTAATAATAACAATAATGATAATAAATTAATAAAACAAAATAATAAAAAACAATATTAAGTATTAAATAATAATAATAATAATAATAATAATAATAATAATAATAAAGTAATAATAAAAAATTTTTATAAATAATAATAATAATAAGTGAAAAATTTCTTCGAATAGATCTATTTGTAATTCACACGATTTATCAATTATTCTGGCGTTTATTATTAGGACATTGACCATTCATTTTCCATTCAAAAGCTTCCATAATTTTTCAACTTTTCCGGTAAATTAAATTATAAAATGTTTAAAATTGATACAATTCGAAGTATTCCTAGTCCAGAATTTATCATATTTCCACCCTATTTCACCTTAAATGTAATCCAGTTAAGATGAAATGAACATGAAATGCATTCATAGAAGCGATTCGATCGATGAAAGCTGAAAATTTTTCAGTAATCGCTGGCAGCAAAAAAACTGATGGATCATTTTGGTTTTCAAAAAAATTTCATTCTTTTGCTATATAAATTATATTAAAATTCATAGTCAAAATTTGCTGCTTTAATGCCTTTTTCTTGAAGTTCTTAAGCGTTTAATCTGAATCTTCAGTAATATCATAAATATATAATATAATTAATTATATAAATAAAGTAAATTTAAAATAAAATAAAATAAATCTGTAATGGTGAAGTAATGATGAATTTGTGATGATGAAGAAATGAAAATGTAATGAAAAATAAAAACAAATAAATAAAAAACAATAATAATTATTGTGATAAGAAGAATTGATAAAGCGTTAAAATAATAATGACAATAATAATAAATAATAAAATAACAAAATAATAAAAAACAAAATATTAATCATCTACCAACAATAATAAATAAAATTAATTGCTGCTTTATTAATATATTATGCAATAAATTTAAATTTATGGCTATTTCGATTGTATAGCCTTTGTTTAAATAAAATAATAAATTTTCAAAAAACCAATATTTCACCTCAAAAGAAATTTTAGCAGTAGATCGTTATATTAATATATATTCATATTGAAAAAATGCATTTTTTTTTTTTTTAATCAAAAATACCTCATTTATATGAGAGTCAACTTTCTGAAGGCAATTTTGTTTGATTGTTGCCTAATACATAATTAATTTTATTATTTAAGAATTTTATTATAAAAGAACGTAGGATGCAAATTTTCTTATGCTTGCCTAATCCACAAATGTACTAATCGAATTATTAAAAGTACATTTGACAACACGAAAAATTAGAATGCATCTGACATTTACTAAATTAAAAATCGAAAAGAAAAGATTAAACATCATAAAGCATAATTTTAAAAAACTGTTTTATTTCGAAAAATTCTTCTCGAAATAATTTTTAGGGAAGGAAACTTTTCATTGTTAGAAAATATTTCTTTGTTAAAATAAAATAAAATTAAACTTACATCACGTTAAAAAATGATACAATACAGCAGAATTTTTGTAAATTGCAAACCAAAATTCAAATGTTTCAAACAAGAATTATAACCATTCAAATAATTAATCGGATTTCTGCTGGAGACCCATTTTTACCTCTATTCTCAAGAGATTCTCTGGCAAGGACATCCATTAAATGCAACAACATGGTAAGAAGTGGAACTAGACAAATCAAAAATGAAGAGTATTATAAAAAGGATGAAAAATAAAAATACAAGAAAAATTGTCACAATTTAAAAAAAAACTGGGATGGATTCAAATTAGGTACAATAAAATAAAAAAATATTTGATGAGGTAAACTGGCAAAAATTCTAAAAATAAAGCTTCTTGAGAATGTATGTCATCAATTTAAGAAAACTGGAGATGAATATTGTCAAATACAATAACTGAGGCATTATTAAACGCAATATTAAAATAATAGAGAAAATATAATAGGAAAGAGAAAAGATGAATAGCACCAATATTTTTTATAACTATTTTATAACTATTTCAGTTCGCCTAAAAGCATAGAACAAGATCATTTCAAATAGTCTAAAATAAAAAAAACTGAGTAACTTATGCAATATAAAAAATAAATAAAATAATAAAAGTGAAAACCCGTTAATGAAATAATGATCCAATACTATCAGGTATCATCGCAGAAAATCGCCGGGTGAAACTAGGAGAATGATGAAAACGTCCCGATGACGTCCTTACCCAATTTTTTGAGCGCGGTAAAGGAGTGATTAAATTACGAAGATCAAATGCAGAACGAAAAACGCTTGACTCGCAAATTTCGAATGGATCATCTTGTACCATACACCAATCATCTTCAGTCTACAAAATCCATTTTCAAAAATGGGCTTTTCATTAGTCATAAACTATATATACATATATATATATATATCTGCAGAAAACTTTTTAAGACAATATAATCAAAAATTTTACTGTAAAAACTGAAAAAATTATTTTCTTTACCAGCTTATAAAAAGACAAACCAAATGTAAGTGCCCCCTTTCAGTCCACACAACTTTAGCAACAATAGCATCAATTCTAGATAGAAGACGCGTTGTTGGTTCAGAAGGCTGCATCTGTAATAAGCGGTGGCGAAAAGATTGGTTAATCGCTATGAAATCATTCTTCAAAGCAAAATCTTTATCGAAAATTTCTGAAATAAAATTTTACCTGTTCATGAAATGGTAGCGATAATAATCTTGTACGGGCAGCTATAAGATTTAAAAATGGATTTGACACATCAATTTTGCATTCATCGACTCCCAACTGAATGCAAAGAAATATCACTGTCAAATTAAATTTCAGCATATCCGTATCGAAGAGATCATCAGACCATTTTTCACACAATAACAAGTCTCGGAGAGATACCTTCAATTTGCAAATTTAATTTACTATCATTTATTATTAAAATACTTAAAATATTAAAATATTAAAATATTTTTATTTTTATTATATATTTTTATTTTATTTTTATTTTTATTTATTAACTTATTAAAATATTTATCACAAAAAAATTATTGTTAATTAAAGGCAATTTAAGCTTTTATCAGAAAGAATCTGGAATTGGAATTTGGAATTCAATAATATTTGGAATTAGTTCAAAAAAAATGATTTTTATATAAATATACAGTAGAGTCCTTGTAAATTGAGATTCCGAATAATCGAAAAATTCGGATAAATTCGAAAAATGCGAAATTCGGTTCGGCTTTTATAAAAATGTATTTTTTGCATTCAGTTTATATTTAATTAAAATCGTATTTTTATGCCTTTATGGCTTTAAATCAGAAAAACACGATTTTTAATCGAGATATTCATCATAATGTTGTATTATAATCATTATTATAAACTATAAGATATGTATTTGTATTCATGCGTATAATATTTTACCAGCAAGATTTAACTAATTTAATTATTTAGGATGGAGTGAATAAAATCGCCAAGGAAGAGTCGCAATAATGTCTATCGAGATTAAAAAGTATGGAACAATTCCTAATTATATCACCTAAATTTGGTGTATTTATAGTTCTCTAAAAAGCTGCCTTTATCAAATCTCAGGTCTACAATTTACAACAGCATATGCCCTTTTCAGTTTTTCTATTATACTTAGTTTTCTTTTATTATCTATTTCTTTTTCTATACTCTCGCGATAAAAGTACAAATGAGTCTCCAAAATCACCCGGATTTTTGAATAGGTTTACTCCTACGAGGAATATGACCTCAGTATTGGCTCCTCGAATTTAGTAAAAACCTACTGAATACGTTATTAGCTAAATATTAAAGTGGACTTACTGAATAATTGCAATTTATCTGATGAACTCGACAAAGCAAATTGACAAGATGCGTGGCATTTACTAGCGTATTAAATGAACTGCTACGTACAATAACAGCCGAAACCTGTGGTAATCCGATCCTTAAAGTTTGCTTTAAACCATATTTTTCCCAATCACTGATCAAACCGGAGCGTATCTGTAGAGAAGAATCTTTTATTTTATTAATCCTTTAATCATTTATTTTTTTAATAAAATATTTATTTACAACAGATGTAATCCCTCCCTAATCAGACCAGATAACAGCTGTAATTTTACAAGGATAATATATAGATATATATATCGAAATTCATGGAGGGTATAAAAATATTTTTCAAATAGCAATAAATGACAAAAACAAAGAATACGTACACAAAAATGAATCCGATTTATTTTTGCTGTCTCAAATGAATCAATTAAAAATGTCCAGTCATTCATTGTACTACTGCAATCAAAATTTATAAATAAATATATAAAACTCAGAGATACGTAACAAAATCTGCATGAAATCTGAACTTTTTATTGCAAAAAATAGATTTCAGCTGAAGCAAAAATTAATTTTATAGTATCTATTTAAATTAAAAAGTTAAATCACAGAAAAATTCTAGATTTACTTAGTTTTATTTAATATTTAAAAAGCTTTTTCGAAAATAACTTATCGTACTCTTTGGAAGAATCTTTTTCTGTTAAATCTTCCTCTTCGGCAATCTGTTCCTCGATAGGGAAAATTTTCGTTAAAAGGCTGATTGATAACAGATGTTTCTTGGCAGCAGTCTACAATTTCGACAAAGATTTCATTTAATTAAACAACATTTAATTAATTAATTTAACAACCTAATTATTTAATTTTATTTAACAGGTTCAAATTCAAAGCACGGATGAAACAAAAATGCTGCTGCTGCATAAATATGCAACGTAAAAAAAGCAACCTGTTTATGAAGTTGTTCAAGTTCGTTTTCTTTTGCAAACGGCTCTTTCATTAACGCTTTATCATGTTTAGCACATTGCATCTGAAGCAATAAAACTATTAGTGCAGTCAACAATAAAAAAAAGTAAAAATTTCACAAGAAATAGAAATCCTCGAAATCATAATAAATCAAATTAATTAATTGTACAGATGTACAATAATGGGGAATAGAATGGCTCAGTGGGTCGTTGTTGAATTTGGAGCGCCGATGCTGAAGCAGGAGTAAATCTGTCCAGGTGATACCACTCATACTTTTATCGCCAAGGAATTCCCTGGCATATTTGTCTAATGTGCCAGCGGAGCAAGTTTAACCAGTAATGATGGGAGTTCTTAAAAAAAATTGCACAATAGTAAATTGCATAAAATAATGATGAATAATAAAAATAGCAATAATTAATAATGATTAATAATAATAAAATAATAATAATAAAACAATATTAAATTAATAACAATATAAATAATAAAATAATAATAAATTGCACAAAAATAATAAATCAACATAAAAATAATTTGCCTTCAAATCAGTGATTATTCGACGGCAATGAGCCAATTCATTAGCCATCAATGCATATTCCTTCGATTTCTCCTCAATTATAGTTTTTTTATTCGTTATATCAAATTTTAATTTTTCAGTTGATTCGCGCAAATTTGCCAATTCAGTAATATTGTTCTAAAAAAAAACTTTTTAAAGTTTAATGAAATGATAGATGATATTTAAAGAGATCATTCGCAGTTCACTTTTTCACTTTCACTTTTTATATCTTTATGGTTCAACGGTAAATATCAACGGTGAATTCTTATAAAACTCGGATATTTTTCTTCTCAATTTTTCATATCCATAGAATTACCAGAGTTGGCTGGTATTTGCCTTATTACATTTCTTCCTTCTAATAAATCTCACCATTACTGGTAAGGCTGACTACGCTGGTTACAGTGGTAAAACGTGATCTGATGCCATCGTAACAGTGACAGAAGCCATTCCTTTTCCATCGCCTAAGTCCATATCTTGTCAGGTTCAATATTCGATAATGAATAGACTTATTTCCTAAGGTGGAATGATTTTGCCAGGATCGATCTATTCGTATATTGCAGCGTGGAATTAGCCATTTATCGTGAAAAAGAGCATTGTCCTCCAAATTCTTCTAACAATTCTCACCGTTACTGGTTAGGCTGGTTCCTCTAAGGGTAAGATGTTTCCAAGCCGCACGGTCTGAAGCCATCCATCTTCGACAGTAATAGAAGCTATTCTTTTTCCATCGTCTAATCCATGTCTTGCTGGCATTTATACGTCATTTATATGTTCAAAATTCTGCCATATCAATCCAGGTCTAGATTGATCCACCTCGCTTCTAATGCCACCCATCATAGGGTTTACGAAATATATGCTAACCCTTGTTAGGCGACGAAGAACCTGCCCTAACCAGCGAAGGCAACGCTGTATGACTGTTAATGCAAGTGGTATTTGAGCGAACGTGGATGTTTTGCCTTACGCTATAAGAAATCATACTTTATTGATAATAACAAGTAATCTTTACAACACTAAGGATTTTCTCGATATCCCGATCCAATCGCTTTTTCACTTCTTCTAATCTTCGCTGCTGTTTTTGCCGACTACAGAAACGAACTAAAAAAATTAAAATTGGAACGATTTTAAAATCATCTTTCCCCCTAAAAAAAAATTTGAATTTAAATTTAAAACAAAAATTTGTATTACAAGCGATTTCATTTATGGATTTAAAATTTTGTTGTATGAAAAAAAACTATTAAAATTTAAATGTAAAAAAACTAAAGACTGAAATTTTTGTATAAAAACAATCCTTCTTCCAATAGATATTTTGTGACTGTTCAATGGAGGATTATTGCCTGTATCATCAAGCGAAAAGCGAAAGTTTATTGTAAAAATTGTAACAGAAAAAAACAAAAATAATAAAATGAAATAGAAATAACAAAAAAACCAACCTTTAGCTGCTGCACAGTTATGACAAATGCAAATAACTCGTCGCTGACATATCGAACAGTAACATCTGAACTTTTAATTATTTTTTTTTTATTTATTGGCGACAGACATAGATTAGATGGATCATAAATACTATATAAATTTAAACTCATTTATTTATTTATTTATTGATAACCAGCCAACAGGGCGACAACGCCATGTGCTTGTATTAATAATAACAGTTAAGATAACAGAAAAAGAAAACACAAAAAAAACATAAACAAAATTAATTATAAAACAATACGATAAAAATTAACAATTTAAAGAGGAAATTACGGATCAATATAATATAGTACAATTCGAAGTAACATATATAACCTGAAGATAAAATCGAGATTTCTCACTTACTGCAGTTCTTGCCCTGGTAAACTCTTCTCTTTTTTTTTCTTTAAATAATATCGTAAATGATATTATCTAGTCTTTTTTTAAAAACAGCTATGGATGACGCACAAGCTACATCGTTCGGTAATTTGTTCCAGTAGTTAATAGTACGAATAAAGAAGTCATGAGTCCTTAGTTTAGTTTTGCATATAGGTTTTAGTAATTTTAAGCCATTAGTTCTTGTTGGATTCAAATTTAGTCTAAAGTTATAATAATATAATAGTATATTATAATATAGTAATAGTATATTTATAATATTTCGAGCAATCTAGCTTAACATAACCATACAGAATCTTATATGTGTAAATTAAATCTTGTTTAATTCTACGAACTGCGAGAGAATCCATGTTATGTTGTAGAAGTGTTCTTTTATAAATAAAATTTACAATTTTTATTAGGAGAGAGGCGTCGTAGAAAATATTTTTGGAGTCCTTCAATTTTACTTCTTTTGTGATGTCTCGGGGTAACATGTAGCACTGTAGTCAAGAAGAGGCCGAAGAAATAATTTGATAAGAAAATTTTCAGTTTTGTTCTTAAATGAACGAAAAATAAAATTTCCTTGAGGATTTCTTTACTATGGTTCTGCAGTGAAGATCGAAATTGAGATTTTCATCTATGATTATTCCAAGATCCGAGATGTGTGAGACTCTATTGATTAAATTACCATTTACAAAAAGGTTAGGAAGATCGAATCCTTTAGAATTGATGTGAAGAACGCTACATTTTTGAAAGGAAAGGATAATTTGCCTGTCATATAGCCAGTCAGCTATGCAGTGGAAATGGGCTATCCGCTCTACCAAGAGAATAAAAAATTTTACAATCATCAGCATAAAGATAAATAGTAGAATTTATTACCACTGTGGTGATATCATTTATATATAACAGAAATAGCAATGGCGCAATACAACTGCCTTAAGGTACGCCTGATTTAACAGGTTTCATGTCAGAAAGAGTGTTGTTAACATATACAGCCTGGTAACGATCTTTTATGTAATCTGACACCCAGTTTTTATAAAGGTCCCCTGTTATGCCATAACTATTAAGAGTGACCAATAATTTGCTATGGGAAACGGTATCAAAAGCCTTAGCCAAATCTAGGTACACAACTGATACTATTTTTCCATTGTCAATTGATGCTGACCAATCAGAAATATTTGTGAAGAAGTAGACTTTTTTATACAAAAGTCATGCTGATAAGAAGATATAAAATTATTGGCATCAAGATAAGTAAGCAATTTGTTGCAAATCAACCTTTCAAGCACCTTGCTACCAACATATGTTAAGCTAATAGGTCTGTAATTAGAAGCGTCATAGGTGCATCCTTTTTTATGAATGGGAACTATATGGGAAAATTTCCAAATTTTGGGATTAAGACATTTATTAAAGACAAGTTTACAGCATTCTTCTTCTTCTTCTAACAGCTCTCACCATTACTGGTTAGGCTGGCTCCAACGGCTACAAGAGTAAGACGCTACCAAGCGATGCGGTCTGATGCCATCGTCGACAGTAATAGAAGCCATTCCTTTTTCCATCATCTAAGTCCATATATTGCTGGTCCATCTATACGTTCAAAATCTTTTCTCACCGTATCAGTCCAGGTCTTGATTGACCCACCTCGCTTTTGACGCCAACCGTTACACGGTTTAGCAAATAACGAAATATGCGTCAACTCCTGTGGTGGAGACGGCGAATGTGCCCTAACCAGCGAATGCGGCGCTCTGTGATAACATTATTTATGCAAGTGGTATTTGAACGAAGGTGGATGCGATCTTGTGAGATTTTATCCACTCGGCGAACCCGTAAAATATACCTTAGACAAGAGTGGTCAAAGGCAGATAACTTTTTAATATCCTCCACTCTCATTGGCCATGTCTCAGAACCATATAATAAGATCGAAGCAGTACAGATGCGGACTTTCGTTTTTATATTGATTTCACGACGATTCCATAAAGGTTTCGTCAACCGGAAGAACGCATTTCTAGCTGCCGTGATCCGAGTTATAATATCATTTTTTGCCTGTCCATTTGGTATTAGAGTGGACCCAAGGTATTTGAAGTCAGGCACCGGTAATGAAATTACAAAAAGAGGCAATTTATCAGCTTTTTGCACATAAGACGAAAAGACTTTCGTTTTATTTACATTGATCCTGAGTCCGATTCTTGCTGAAGTTTCTGACATGTTATTTAGTACTACTTGTTATAACTGTCAGCAAAAAGGACTACATCATCAGCGTATTCAAGATCTATGATACGATGCTATGGACTAATTCGGACACCTCTTGAGTGCCGACAAGCAGTGTACAGTCTATCGCATAGTTGAATATTGTGGGGGAAAGGATGCAGCTCTGACGGACACCTATTCTTATTTCGAAGGAATCTGTCAGCTTCCCATATACACAGACCTGCGCCGACATGCGCTAATAAAATGCCTTTATGAGCCTAATGATTTTCTCTGGGAACATCGTCACATTCCATCACCCTCCAAAGCGCCGCTCTATCAATTGAATCAAAGGCAGCCGCAAAGTCGATGAAATACGTGACAGTGGGTTGCAAATATTTGAAGCGATGTTCCAACACCCTTCTTAACGTGAATATCTGGTATGGTAAGCACAACCGCACCCCGGTCTGAATCCAGCTCGATTAGGGCGCATCTTGCCGTACTCACATAAGTCAATAGAATAAAAGAGAAGCAAAAATTTTTGCTGAGACGTCTGATAGGCTGATTTCTCGATAATTGTCACAGTATGTCCTATCGCAGTATGTATTTCTTGAGAATTGGGAGAAGAATTGCTTTGCTCCAATCATCTGGTAATATTTCTTTTTTCCATACTAAAGAATACATTTGTTGAAGGTGCGTTATGAAGGACGATGGACAGCATTTGAAAAGCTCAGCCCGAAGACCATCTTCTCCTGGAATTTTGTTGGCCTTAAGCTTGTGGATAACTGAAATTATTTCTTCTTCTGTTGGAGACTCACAATTGCAAACATATGCTTCGGCAAATGTATCAGCTATATCAGAGGCAACAGATGGCGCTTCATGGTTAAGTTTGGCCTTAAAGAATTCTTTCCACCTTATGAGGCGATCCTTAATACTTTTAATTAGTCATTGCTGTCTTTTACCATTTCACTGATCGTTCCGTGAGTCATAGTAGCTTTATAAAGAAGAGTTTCCTATTGTCGCCTAATCGAGCCGCCGCCTCCATTCTTGAGGCCATGTCACTCCAATAGAGATTTCTGCCCCGCCTTGCTGCTTTCGTTGCAAATCTTCGAAGCACCCGGTAGTTAGGATTACCTGACTTTCGTGCCTTTTCGGACAATTGGACAGTTGCTTCCGATACCCAGCTAGCGCACTTCCTACTAGTATGCCCTAGCGTGGAAGTGGCTGATTTTCGGAGACACTCCTTTAGTTTGGACCAGTATTCGTTTACCGTTCCAGAAAAATCATTGATATTTATATCATTGAGATGCTTCAATAATTCGGTTTGAAATGCGCCCACCCTCCCCAAATTTTTTAGTTTGAGATAGTTGAAGGAACTTGGGAAATGTTGTTTTCTGCGAGTTGTCAATTTTATGCGGATCCTGGATGGAACCATAACGTGGTCATATCCATGAAAATTGCCCATTTCAACTCTGCAATAGGAACGACTATCTAGCACGGAACTCTTCCAACGGCGACTGATTAAGATATAATCAATCTAGTTGAAGTGTTGGTTATCCTGGGAGTTCCACGTGACTAGATGTTTTCTATGATGCCGGAAGTAAGCACTAGTAACAAAAAGTTCATGCTCTTCGCCATAACGTTCCCTATTGGCACACCGATCTTCGATGCCATATTTGCCAATTGTTGAGGTCATCGCAGCTGCATTATTACCTACGCGAGCATTCCAGCCTCCCCCGATTATGATCATGTTACGTTTCGGTAGAGACTTTGTTAGCAGTTGAAGTTCCGCATAGAACGTGTCTTTATCACGGTCATCTGCCGACAGCGTTGGAGCATAGACACTGATAACCGAGATATTGCAGAACTTACCCTTAAAACGGGCATAGGCCATATGGTCGTTTACCGATTTCCACTCAATCAAAGCGGAACGGGCCTTATCAGACAATCGCTAAGCCATTTCGCCCCGAGTTATTCGAAGCACCACAAATATAGCCATATAGCCAGTATCTCTGCTCTGAACCAGGAATAATAATTTCTCGAGACCCAAAGTGAGGAAGACCTCTGACAAGCAAGCGATATCCACACGATACTTAGACAGGCGTGGATAGTGATCGCTTGACTTGCAACGTCCATAAGCGTTCTAACGTTCCACACTGATACGGCTAATACCCCGCCGCGTGTGGAGAGGGCTGTTTCCTTTCTTGATAGGTATCGAGCAATTACTTTGCCTTGAAAGCACATTTTATTTATCATCCTTGGGATCGCTTTAAGCCCGGATTGTAAACTTATCGCATGTACCACCGGGCTCGAAGTATCATGCGCATCGGGAGACGCGGACACCGTATCAAATGTATCTGACCCTTTCACCATAGAATCACTTGGGGATAGAGTTACAGGTAGGTCCCCAGCAACCACCTGGATTTTTGATATAATAGCAGGCTTATTCCTGCCAAAGACAAAAAAAAAATTAAATTTGAAGAAAATAATAAAATGGACAATGAAATTTAAAAAAAAAAAGATATATATATCTTTTTTTTACAGCATAAAGTAAACAAATGGTAATAACAAAAAATAAAGGTTAAGTAAGCAACAATGACAAAAAAATAAAAATTAATATGAAAATAAGAATAAAATAATAAATAAACAAACAACAACAGTAAACAATAAGAAAAATAATAATAAGAAAAATAAGAAAAATAGTAGAAAAAAAGTGAAAGTAATAAAATGAAATAGAAATAAAAACAACGAAAATAAAAAATAATAAAAATAACAATAAAAGCTAGATAGCAAAAATAATAAACAATAATAGTAAACAATAATTATAAATTGTACACCGCTTGTTGGCACTCAAGAGATAAACAAATCTATTCATCATATCACACATCTTGAATATATTATATTCCTTTTTGCTGATAAATGAAGTGCGAATAATGTTAAATAATGTTAAACAATGACAACAACTATAGCGAGAATTGAATGTAAATAAAACGAAAATTTTTTCATTCTTATATACATGAAACTGATTATCTCTTTTGATAAATTCATAACTGATTGAGGAAATGCCTGATTTTAAATATCTTGGATCCACTCTAATACTGAATGGCCAAGCAAAAGATGACATTACAATCAGTATCACGGTAGCTAGAAATGTACTCTTCCGATTGACGAAATGTTTATGAAGCCGTAGCGAAATCACCATAAAAATTAAAATCCATGTCTAATAGTCGCGGTTTATTCGATCTTATGGCCTTGAGAGGGGAGGATTAGTGGAGAGTGGAGAGTATTAAGAGGCTATCTGCCACTAATGTCTAAGATACATTTTATGGGTTCACTGAGTGGATAAAATCTTACATGCTTGCATCTTCGCTCAAATACCACCTACATCAACAGAACCATCACAGAGCGTCACAGGTCAAAGCACGTTCTTTATCGATCACTACACGAGTGGATACACATTTCGTTACTTGCTAAACTCATTGATGGACAGCGTCAGAAGCGAAGTGAGGGGGGGGGGGGAGGGGAGGCAAATCAAGACTTGCACTGATACGGTCAGAAAAGATTTCGAACTATAGATATATGGACTTAGACGATAGAAAAAGAAATGGTTTCTATTATTGTCGACGATGGCGTCAAATCGCAGCTTAGCAACCTAACCAATAATGAAAATTCTTAGAGGAAGAGGAAAGACGAATAAATAATAACTGCACAATAATAACAATAAATCGGAGCTTCAAAATAATAAAAACAACAAATTATGCAATCCCATTCCCAAGTGAATAAATTAATGAAAAATCGAAATTACCTGCACTTTTTATCATCCACTGCTATTCGCTTCGATTTGTAACAATTATTTCGAGTTAAAACACCAGGAAAATCGAGAACTTCAAGCGACGAATCTGCTAAACCGTTATTCATCTCCCTAATGCCCATAAATTATTAATTTCTCCGCAAAAACCGCAAACATTTTCCTGAAAAAACAATATTCCTTCCAAAAGATCAGTGGAAAAAATAGATAATAAACAATAAGCGAACCGGAAACTTAGGAAAAAAACGGGAAAACCCACATTTTTGCGTAACTCCTTAATATTTTATAATTTTAAAATTCTATTGTTTATGAAAAGTTCGAGGTATTAGCCAAGCCCAACGTTTATTCCAAAGCATGGGCAAAGATTTAGCTAGGGCCAAGCCCTAGGCCAAGGCTCACGAATAGACCGAGACTTAGAATAAAAATGAACAACTAAATAAATAAAATAAATAAATAAAAATAACATTTAACGGCTTCAACAAATAAAATTAAAGAAAACACCGGCAATCCGAGAGTTAGTAATATACTTCTACTCATCGGCTGAATTCTTTTTTCCTGCACGATTCATTTAAGCCGACTCCTGTTGAAACTTTACTATATGTCAGCTGGTCTCAACTTCACCACTGTTCATCAGTCAGCATCGTGTCCTATCGTTTCTCACTTGTCTAAATGACTGCAGGAATATCTGATTTGTTCTTGACGCATCGTTACTTTTCTAGTTGCATCATATTAAACTGCATTCCTGATTGGCCTTTGGTACCGTCGTACCAAACAGTAACAATCCTCAGCGCCTCTAGGACTCCCCCTAATCCCCTTTTCTGGAAAATTCTTTGCTTGAATTATTCATAAAAAAATTATTTATTTCTATATTTAGTTTCGTGTGATACGCTTTTTTATTTGTCTAAAAATTTATTCATTCTTAGAAATATCGTTGAATATCCTCTGGAATATTTCGTCCACAAGAACACTTAAGTTTCCTCTGGAATATTTAATGCATAGAAACATTCATTTTTAGAATTCATCGAGAATATTTCACCCTTAGGAACATTGGTCTTTTGTGGTGAAGTCAAAGCAAAAAAAAAAAAAATATAATTTGCCTTATTAGTAATAAAATAATTTATCGATGAAACTTATTTTTTTTTAGGAAATAATCATAGTAGTCGTACAAGTTGTTTTTCAAAAATACGAGTAAATGCTGCTGGTGATCCATCTCATACTTCTATCACCAACTGCGTCCTCCGTCCTCGTGCAGTGACTCATTCTAACTCGACAGGCCAATCCATAAAATAATTGACAATTTTTGGAGTGGGTGAAAATCTCACAAATTAGGAATTTCTCTGCGAAGAATGAGAGTGATTTATTTAGAAGTATTTCAAGTGGATTTCCAGTATTATCAATGAATTTGGAAATTTACATATTTACAAATTATAAACATCAAAAACGCCCGCCACATCAAATTATTCTTAGAAATCCTCAAAAATTTCAATAAAAATTATTCGCAAATATAATAAAATTGAGATCATTTAATACAGAATGCCAAAAAAAAATCACAGAAATTATAAACGAAGAAATAATTTTGGGGAAAACTTAACACTTTTCGGGAAAGTTAAATTGTCCTCTGAATTTTTTTTTCATCCCTTTAAAAAATGATTAAAATGAAAATTTTTTAAAAAACCAATTAAACACAAAAAAATAAACTATTTTACAATAATAATTGATAAATTAATCAGTAAGTTAATCAGTAATCAGTAATTATCCGTAGACGATATAGCTTAGGCAATTGCTATTTTCAGGCAGGCGGATTTGAATCGCTCTATTCATTCAGTGAAGGTGGTGGAAGTGACCAAAGAATGGCTGTACGATCTGCGCTCGTACTCAAAAATGAAAAATCGTGAGGATGCCACCTGCAAAAATGTAAAGAGGATATTTCATCTTTAGTGATCTTTCTTGATCCATTTTCGTGATTCTCAAAATAAATCTCCACCATCTTTTAACTATCAGCGCTTATCAACATTTATCAACTTTTAGATTCCATTTAGATTTAATTTGATTGTAGGATAAATTAAATCTTAAATTATTCGAAATTTTGGATTATTTTTTTGTTCTCTAAAAATGTTTCTTATAATTTTTCGCCATATTTAAACCATAAGTTAATTTTTAAAGTAATTAAAAACACTGATAACCTGCACTGGATAACTTTGTCTTTATGCTCAGCTATTGGAAGATACATTAATGGTGCCATTAAATCACCTCTCATATCTGTTATCACCACTCTGAAAAATTAAAAAATTTCATAAAAAGAAAGATGAATATAATCTACCTTATCAGCCTTATCACGTTTGATAAATATACCTTTTATCATATGAACCACTCAATAAATAATAGGCAGCATTGCTGAAACGAACTGTTCGAACTTCATCAGCATGAGGGCGAAATATTTGCACAATACGATTTCCATGAATATCGTAAAGCATTACTGATGCATCTTCGTGCCCCGAAACAAGAAGTTTACCGCTAGGATCAACACAAACAGACGTGACTGGCGCGTCTAAATTGTTTAATCTTCGAAATCCTTTTCAATAAAAAGCCTTTCATGAATGATTATTCTCGATAAGCCGTCCTCCGTCATTGCCTATGATGAGGACCGATCAAGACCTGGACTAGCATAATCGAAAAAAATTTTGAACATAAAGGCAGCCCAACGATTTATGGGGATTATAGGATAGAAAATGTAATTGTTTTCGTTATTCTCAGATATGTATCAGGTTGAGCCACTAGGGTTTGCATTATTCTTGTAGCCAATTTTTTTTTTTTTAAAGTCCTCACCATTACTCGCTCCACTGGCTTGTCTTATTGAGCAATATGCCGTGGAGTCCATTGGCGATAGAAATACAGGTCTCCTGCATGATTTTTGTACAGGTTTACTGCTCCGGGGAATCGAACCTCAGCATCGGCGCTCCCAATCGAGCAACAACCCACTGAGCCATTCCATTCCCATTCTATTTTTGTAGCCAATGGAGCTAGCCTAATCAGTAATTATAATTGCGAGTTGCTAGAGGAGGAGAAGAAGAAATTGTTGCGCTTATACTTTTGATGGGCTTTAAAGACGATGGCTTCAATTCTAGTTGGAAAGAATGTCCGTGGATGTTTTCCGACCCAACATCAATGTCTTACTTTTTCGTCGTAATTCTAAAGAAGGTAATAAATTTTAAATTATTAAAATATTAAAATAAAAAAATTACTCGCAACTTTGCTGCTTGCAGCAATTACATTAATCGACTGTGGGGAGCGCAAATCCCAAATTCTTATAGTTTTATCTTGTGAACAACTTGCGAAGCAACCATTTCCCCAAGCATAAAGGCCGAGTATGGGTGCTAAAATATGAATTTTTTATCGTCATTAGCTGATTAAATGATAAAAATTTATTCGATTTGGCCATTAAATTTAAGCAATAATCACAATTTCAATAAGTATTTTTTGTGGATTTTAACTTCTTTATTTCGTTTTTATTAATTTTATTAAGGACTTTTTTTATGTATAAAGAATTAGATAGGCGTCTAAAATTTAAAATTACCCGTATGCCCGTGATAAGAATTCAGTAAATGACCACTTGAGCAGTCGGTTATGTGAATACGGCAATTACCAGCACCACCCGAAATTAAAACTGTATTTCTATTAATTGAATCGTCTACAAAAACTAAATCCCTAATTGTACCATCATGAATATTTATTTCCATTTCTGCACCTGAAATTAAAATTTCTGCTTAGAAATTTTTATTGGAACCTCAAATTTATTCTCCTATGCGACTAATAATAAATTATATTCTTATAAATTATTTAAAAAAGTGTTAAATATTAAAATATTGTTAAATATTAAAAAAAAAAGCTAAAAATTTGACGCCAACCTATTTTACAGTGTTCAGTATTAAACGCCATTAAACGAAATGATTTGTCATTAGAACCAGTAGCAAGCAATTCACCGGTCGGATTGAAACCAAGACAATAGACACTTCCACGGTGTTGTTTGGGTCGCGATAATATGATGTCAACATTTTGTGGTGGCATCTCAGCTCTTCAGATCAATTTATAAAGGTATATTATATATGATTTGATATACACTCATTTAAAGAATTAATATCATATGTGGTTCTTAATCTGATGCTGAATTCCACGATGATCTGATGATACAGTGGACTAGAATTCGACAAACAATGAGACAATCCTATGATGCTTTTGGGAATAGTGCGGAAATTATGTATCTACAGCATTTTTTTTAACGAACCATTCGTCCTACATAATGATAGACTGTTTTCAAATTTTGGTTTTTTGATAATTTCATAGCCCATTGTACCTGCCTAATACTCCTTGAATCTTAATCTCCTGCTTCGATATTAATTAAATTTTTACAATTATCCCCTATCTTTTTCGTTATTCACCACCAGATAGATTCTGCTTTTGGAAATTTTACCATTTATAACTACGGTATTGGCGAAGAAACACCATTAGGCGATAAATAAGCTTATTCCTATGTGGTTAGAGTTGAGCTTGGCAAGATAAAAGGTTGGTGCTATTAATGGATTAAAACAAAAAGTGGAGAAAAGCTTTGAAGATGTTAAGAGATATTTTATGGGGTCAAGAAGGCTCTCCATAAAACGAATATCTCGGGATATATTAGTGCATCTAAAAAACTGTGATTCTGCCAACTGTGATTTCATAAGCAATATGAGGGATTTTTAAAGAGTACTAAGGGATAGAGAAAGCAAAATAAAGGACTTTTGGTCCCATTGCAGTATGTTTGGTTACCATGGTTGGTTAAAACATGCCCAAAAAGGCTATTTTAGCCTTAAAATGTATCTGATTTTAAAATTTAACAATTGAGGAATTATTTGCGACGACATTTAAAGATCAGATCATATAAATTTATGGCAATGTTCCTAATAGATTATGCCGGAAAACAAAGAATTAATGGAGTATATAGGAAATATACTGGATTACTGGTGGAGTGCAACAGGTTTCGAGGAATTTGTTAAGAAAGTAAGACATGTTTTAAAAAGATCTAAAAGAATAATTCAATAATATGATATAATAATATGTAAAAAAAATATAATAATATGTAAAAAAATTGTTAAAAAATATGGTACTTTAAAGATGAAGGAAAAAACAACTGGATTTGGGAAATGTTACATATGAAAATCTAAGAAATGTCCTTCGATTTACAACAATTTTTTAATAAGGATTACTTGAAATTGCGCAAGTCAGGATACTTGCAAACAAGTAATTGCTTTGAATTCGTTCCTAATGCAAAAAATCGTCCACTTGGATGAAATGCGACAGCACGAATCGCTTGAGAATCCTCGTATCTGCAAATAGCATATTTTGCGAATTTTATTTCAATATTGTGAAAAAACCTTAAAGATCGAGATTTATCGAAAGACATACCGACAAATTGGCACGAATTGAACATTTAAACTGTTTGCAGAGGATGATTCGTGTGATACTTTTGTTGAAATTGTTACTGGCCTAGTTTGCAAGCTAGCACTTCGCCTTATGGGAGAATGATCAACTGGCTTTTCACTATTGGCTTGTGATGTATTATACATTACTACAGGTGTTGCAGTATACTGTAAATAAATAAAATTGATAAATTTCCATTCTCTTATCATAGGATTTATAATTTTCATTGGCTATAATAGAATAAAATTTCTTAGAGATTTTCTTGGCTCGTGTAAGCGAATAATTACCGGAGCTATGAATTGTTTCGAATCAATAGCAGTTGGAGCAATCGTCGTATCATTATAACTTGCACAAGCGTTTTGCATTTGCATTAATGAAGTCGCCATTCCCATTTCAATTCGCTCATTTAGATTTGCTTAAAAAAAGACTAAAGAGATTTAAAAATTGAAGGAAGAAAATTCATCTAAAATTTTATTAAAAAAGCTACAAGAATCTTAGCTAGTAACTCTCTTCTAATTACCTGATCCACGTTGCATTCGATGCGAAAATTCAGTGAGAAGTCTTGAAGTTGTCATTGCGTTGACACAAGGTGTTGCATCAGAAGATAGATGATTTTCGTTTGGTGTTGTTATTTCCGGAACTGGTGGTAAAGAACAGATTCGTTCACCTCGACGAGCCATTTCGTCTAATTGCCGTCGATATGAGAAGTCAATTGTTGTTGAAACTGGAGGTGCTACTGGTAATAAAGAGGGAATCATGTTTTGTGGCATAGCAATTGCATTACTGAAATTTTTACTTTAGAATTTTTAGTTTTAATTAGGCTTTTAGTTGGAAATAGAATTGGATTTAATTCATCAATACTTGCTTTTTAACTTTGATAAACTACCATTTGCTTTAAATATAATTTTTAATAAAATATTCATCTTTTAAAAGAACTCAAATTTTTATCTTCTAACAGAATCATTATACAGCATCAGTATAAGAGTGGTTAGCCAGCCATTATTTCTAGTTCAGCAACCTATTCAGTTTAATAAGAAGTAGGAAAATTCTGCTATTTGTCGATGGGCATCATGTCGCCACAGTTCATCAGCTTAATTTTTAATAATAGATTTATTTCTACAAAATTGGCGATTGAATTAATGATCTACGGCTACGGAACAATACGCATACGACAAATTTGCACCCATAAAAAATATAGCTAACCTCTGACCCATGTTGGATTTATATAATGGTTGTAAAGTTGACGATGACATTGAATTTCTTGAAATACGTATTGCATTTGGTCGACTACTTCGAGTTTGTTCAGATGTTTCAAACATAGCATCAATAATATGACTTTGAGCCATCGTTGATTGTTCTTGTTCTTCTGATTGTTGGATCGAGAATCCAATCATTGGCATTGTCGAGTAAGACATTGGATGATCCGTTTTGTAAGAACTATGTGCTGTAAATTTTGCTTATCTACAATATCATTTCTGTTAGGAAAGAAAAACTATCACTAGTTTTTAAAATTATTTTTGTATTCCTTTCATCCAAAGTCTTCTATTTCTAACATCTCCCACGATTATTGTCTAGGCTGATTCAGCTGGCTATGATGGTTCCGAGCGCTGCTATTTATACCTTTTAAGAGTTCAATCGTTGATGCCGAGTAAGAAAGAAACAACAGGATAGAAATGATGTAGAATTGAAAATTCCATCTTTTTGAATAGAGAAACCCAGATAAAATGTCTCGATTAGCTCGGTCAAATGGCCTAACACATTTATTAATAGAATTACGATATTTTTCGAATAATTTTAATCAACTAACGAGAAACTAAGGATGAAGACATTGAAGGAATGATCATAGATCGTGACGTTTTTTCAGCACACTTAAGTTTATTGTTAGGCACAAGTGCATGTGGAAATATTCCACCAGGTTTTATTGGTGTATTTAATATTTCAACCGTCCATTGTGCTTCTAATTTGGGTTTCCTAAAAAAAAGTAATTTGTAACTGGGTGATTTTTTTTCTAATATTATATAGTTATATAATGAAAAAGTAGCGAAAATATTTACAGAAAAAAGAATTATTTTAAAAAATAATAAAGCAAATTTAGAACGAATAAGTATATTTACTTCATTTGTTCCAATTTCATGTCAAGCGTTTTTTGTTGAAAAGGTAGAATGAATTGTTCTCGACCGACGGCTTCTAGCCATGAGACTAATGATAGATCAGCGTTAGAAAGATGTGGCCTTATAGTTAGCACGGTTGATGATAATACTCCTTTTTCTAATCCTTAATTATAAAATTATTTGCTAATTTTTTGAAATTTTTCGAAATTTTATATTGCAAAAGTAATAATTAGCGATTGATTTTGAAAGGCTTTATTTTATTTGAATAATAATTGAATAATAATAATTGATATGTTCTTACCATCTTTATCTCCAAGCGCTTGAGCCTGACAATAATCGACACAACCTTCATAGAAGCAACCTTTAACAATAAGCTGCATCAAACGATCGTTAGCTGAATATGGCATTATTCCATCTGAACTCTTTTTTGTTGCTGGAAGTAATGGAGCTACCATCGGTTCGATCTACAAAAAAATCAAATTTTTTAAATCTATAAAGTAAACGAGGAAACTTGGCTCAGAGTAATATTTTAATAGTGTACTGTAAATCATATAAGGAATATGCTAGAGAAAGAATTATTTACTTGAATAAGTTCATAAAACAATTACTTTATGGAAACATTCAACACGTGCACTACTAGGATTCCAGTTTTTAAAATCTGTATGATCGGATAATTTCGGTAAAGTAAGAAGGGCGCATAAACTACGAAAATCTTCTGGCGTTGGGCAGATATGTTCAAGATCTTTTAAGCATTCCACGATTTCCTGCGAATGAAAATATGATTAGATTTTTAATTAGGAAATCTCAATTAACCTTTAAGGGCAATAATTAAGAATTTAATTTTGGATTATCAAGGCTGATAAATTCTTAATTAAGCTTTGAAGGTGATAATTAAGAATTTTAGATTGACTCATAGCGATTTATAAATGGAATATCCAATAGTTAGTAAAACAACTGATTTAATTTTGCATTATTTCAAAAAATACATCAAATATTAAAATAAAAATTAAAAATTAAATATTCAAAATTAGGATAAAAATATTTATACTTCAACTGTAAAATCGTTATCGTGCATAGGACCCGGCTCTTGTTTTATGCAAAGCAATTCGAAATATTTATATTTTGTGATATGATAACGAAACATTCGAAGATCAAAATCGGGTAAATCACGAAGTGGATCAACAAAATCCAGCGCATTATCCCATTGACCATCGAGTATTAATTGACGTAAGAATAGTAAATCATCTGAGCAATTTCTATTCGTAATACCCGTTTCTCGTTCTAATGATAGCTAAATTTTTACAAAATTGTAAAATTTTTTGAGTTTTTTCTTTATATATTTTAAATTATACGAGTAGAAACAATTCATTATAGGTAGTGAAATGAACTGGAGCATAGAATGGTTCAGTGGGTTGTTGCTCAATTCGGAACGCCGATGCTGAGGTTCTACACCCCGCAGGAGCAAATCTATCCAAAAATCCGCGTGATGCTTGCGATTTACCTGTACTTCTATCGCTAAGGAACTCCCTAGCATCAAACCAGTAATGCTAAATGCTTTAAAAAAAAATCAATAACGATGGACTAAACGAGAAATGGTACTTTCGACAAAGAATTTCGAAAAAATTCTAAAAATCTGAGAACCATATATAAATGAAAATGTAAAAAACACCTGTGCAATGTGAAGTCCTCTCATTTCCAAAAATTCTAAAATCGTCTTAATCACATCGCATTCACTTATTGATAATTGAACAATAACTGGCATTTTTTCGCTTTTTTTTTCAGTTTATTGGCCACATTTATAGAAATCCAATGAAATCAAATATATAAATTATATTATATTATTAAATATATTATAAATATTATAATATTGCAATTTGCAATTTGCGTGATCACACGCAATAATCTTTTGCATTTAAATTGTTCATTTATTCTATGAAATTATTTATTTTTTTTTTTAGCAAAAAAGAATTTTTCTACTTTTCTTATCTAATATAAAATTAATAATTTTGACGAATGATAAATTCTTTCAAAATTTTCTATTTTTGTTTAAATTTGGTTATCAATGGTTCGAAAAAAATTATTAATACGAAGAAAGAAAAAAATTGAAAAATGTTTCACAAAATTATAATTTTATTTATCATTCTAACTGATAAATAAACAATGCTACTCATTCGTTATTTATTGGAAAAATTAATTCTAAAATTTATTAATTTATTCTAAAATCGTTTTTTTTGGATTAGTAACTCGAATTTATATGAAATATAAAAATTTCGAATTTATAAAACATTTAAATATACCAAAAATTTCATCAAAAAATTTATCATTTATCATCAAAATCATACAAAAAAATTTATGATAAATATATGATTCATAAGAAACATAAAAAAAAAAACAATATTTCGATAATAGAACAGAAAAATAAACTTATATAACAATTTCTAAACAAACTTCGAAATGCCAATCGTCGATAATCATCGGATGAGAAATAAAACAGCTCACATTTTCTTATCTTAAACTCACAATATGAATGAGTTTTTTGGTATGATGTTTGGAATGAAAAGCAGATTTATCGTTTTCATCTTCCTAAGTTTAAAATAACTAAGTCGATGATTATGGATTAATCAACTAACAAAATCGGTCAGTGTATTTTAGTAAGAAAAATTTTAAAAGAAAAATCAACCGATCAACCGATTTAATGAAAATATATGCATGATAAATACATGTGATATGTGCGATACGTAAGGAAGAATAATGAGAAACTAATCGAAAAAAAAAAAGAAATAAAAACTTTAAATTGCTTTCATAGTTATTTCAGTAATTATTATTAATTGGTGATAAGAAATAAATTATTAATAATTTATGATTTCATAAGTGACAAATAACAACTGATAATAAGTAATGATAATAATTAACGATTATTAAATAATATTAATTGATAATAATTAACAATAAAACAAATTCTCTCGAAAATATTTGATTCAAAATTTAATCAATTTTTATCAATGAAATTGCAGTTAAATAAGATTTGAAATCAAAAAATTAAATTACAAATGACATAGAAAATTTTTGCTATTTTAGAAAAATTTTCTATAATTTATAAATTTTCTAAAAATTAAAACAAAAAAAAATATGACAAAAAAATAAATATAATAATTAACCTAAAAATATCTAAAAAAAATCTAAAAATGATAAAACTGATAAGTGATAAAACTGCTTTGATTATGGCTAAAAACTAAAATAGGCTCGATTTTTGGTCGCTTAACGGAAATCTATTATTAAATTATATTTAATGTTTATTATTTAATATTATTAAAAAACAAAATAAAAGCCTTGGCCACGGCCTCAGCTATTCCACTTCTATCGCCAAATGCTCGTTCTACGGCGAAAGCGTCAACTAAGACAGAAACTAATGAATAATACTGTTTGTTGCTATCTGTTCTGTTGAAATGATATTTAAAAAAAAAAAAAATGAAAAATATTGCAAAACTTGTTAAATATTGTCATTTCGTTCAATAAAATTCGAAAAAATAATGAATCAGTTGTTGAAAATTGAAAATGTCATTTGACTAATTTTTCAAATAATTTTTTCAACATAAATTAAAAAGATAATAAAAAATAAAATCGAAAATAAAAAACACCTGGAAACACATAATTATTCGGATTATCATCAAGAAACTTTATCCAATGATAATAATGATAATAATAAATCATATCATATAAACGACAATAAATTACAATACAAATGACGACTGAATGAATATTTGTTTAAAAGCCTTTATTGCGATGTTTATTTATAAAAATCGTTCAATTACCTACGAAATATCCGCAAAATATTTTATGTAATTTTTCATCAAATACTAAAATTTTTTAGTTATTTTTTTTAGATTCTAAAAATTTTTAAAATTTAATTTTTTAAAATTAAAAAATTAAAATATTATTAAAAAATAAAAATTAAAAAATAAAATATTATTAAAAAATAAAAATTAAATTGAATTAAATAATTAAATAATTAAAATTAATTATTAAATATTAAGAATAATTAGTTCGATCTTCGTTATTTATATATGAATAATTCATTTTCCGGCAAACCGTATTAGTTTCAATTTGTATTTGTAAAATTTAATAAGACTTAACCTGTTATTAAAGACAAAATGGAATGGTACTACAGTTACTTATTTAACTATCTATTTGCAATTGAATTAAGTCATTCGAATGAAAAATTTTTAGTGAAGTCAGTCAAAATTAGAAATAGTACAATGCAATTAAAAGACGAAAAAGATATATTTTGAAAAAAAAATCCATGAAGTTGACGAATTCAACAAAGCAAATTTTGCAAAAAATTTATAAAATTAAATCTTTTAATTTTTCAAAAACTATAAAAAAAATTATAAAGAAAATAAAAAGCTTTTAAATTCAATAAAAAATTAAAAATTAAAAATTATTTTCATTCATTTCTAAATTTTTATTTATTTTTTTTCAAATAAAATCGTCGAAAAATTTTTCATTGAATTTTTCTCGAATTAATTTTTATTTTTCGAAACGACAATTAATTTTTATTTTTGAGAATCGTTTAATGTTCAATTAATTTAAAAAAATTCCCATAAAATTTTTATATTTCAAAAAATTTCACGAAATTTAATCGTCGATAAATTAATTGTCGTTTCGAAATTTATATCACCAATTTTGTATTAAAAAGTTATCTCTGAATGATAAAACGATGATTACGGTTTATGCTTTGAAAAAGAGAAAAAGAAAAAGATGCAGTTTGGCTAAGGATTAAGGGAGATTTCATAGGTGATAATTTTTAATTTGTAAATTTCTCCTTTATTTAAAGAGCAATTTTGGTTAGATTCGCTGAGGACAAATCGCAGCCGGACAAATCGAAGATAATTTTTGTTAGGGGTAGAAATGTAGGTGAGAGGGATTTTTAGAAAAGATAGGTTCTGAAGAGAGTTTAATCTAAAAATAATAAGATATTATAAATATATATGGCCTATAGCCTCGCAAGGCCATATGGAAGATTCGTCAGAAAATCGTGAAGTATAATAAAGGTGAGATCTTGTGGAACTTCTCCATCCAGAGTAATACTGGCCAATCAGCCAGATATCGTGACGAAAGACAAGAACCAATAATCAATACTGGTGATAGATATAGTAGTACCAAGTGACATTATGATAAAGGAATGTGAGAAGCTAGAGAAATACCAAGGAATGAAAAATGAACTAAAGAAATAGTAGACCCATTAGCAAAAGCAACACTTGGGACGCTTAAACTAGAAAAATGATCAATGCCCTCAAGATTCTAAGATTCCACTTGGGAATCCGAGCTGAGGATGACCTATAAAACCCGCGGTGAGGGGTGAAAAGGGAATTTTTTTTTTAAATAAATGACACTAAAATATATTTATATACAATTCGTACCAAAAGAGCATTCGAAATAGGAAACACTACTGCCATCTATATGAATATATTGATTTTGTGCCTTGGGCGATAATATAAAATAATGCTTGTCGCCTGATTCACGAATAGCCATTTCTTTACGAGATGGATTATTCATTTCTAATTTTTTATGTCCAGAAGAGCAAATTATCATTACAAATGAAACCGTTTTCTTTTAAAACAAACGGAGATCCTCAACGGGGAAATCGGAAAGATCCCCCAAGGCGCAACAGAAATTTGAAAGGAATCAATAAAAAACCGATAGACAAGTCAAATAATTTTTGCAAATTTTCAATTGTAACTAATAAAAAATCATACATTTCATTCATTTTTCTGGTACCAAACGTTGTTTGTAAAAGTTCAAAAATTCTCATTTAAAAATACCCAGAATAAAAAGATTTTGTTGAAATAATATTATTAGCAAAATCTTCGAGAATAAATAACACAAAAAGAATTCTAAGAGGAGAGATCGATGGTAAAAAATATTGCTTTTATTAGGGGTCGATGCAGCGAAGAGATTTGGAACCTCTGGTCCAAAAATTAGAATACGATAATAAAAAGAATTTAAGAATTTATTAAGCAAAAAGAAGGTTTTTGACATGGATCAAAAATAAGAACCTGGTAGAGTCAATCATATTATTCCCTTTTTTCCTTGTCAAATAAACTCATTATCAGTGATAAGGTGATAAAAAAACTGCCTAAGTTAGATAAAACGATGGAAATAACGGAAAATTGTTGCATTTAGTTCTAAAAAAAAAAATGCAATTTATAGATAGTCGATTTCATCTATTATACGTCCATTTCAATTTTATAATTTGATGTTTCTTCCGAAATAGGAAAATTCTTTCCTTCAATAAAAACCCTATAAATGAATTATACGATCTAAAATTATATTGAGAAATGCTGCAGAATTGAAAATATTGGAAATATTTTGCATATTTTTTATTTTAAAATATTTTTAGTTATTTATTTTATATATTTATTTTATACAAAAATATTTATATTTAAAAGTATTTCTATATTTTATTTGATTATTTATATTATTTTATTATTTCTATATTAAAAATATTTCTATATTTTTTATTTTTTAATTTAATTCATAAATTTAAATATATTAAAATATTTCAAAGAAATGCAAATTTTATTTTATCTAAGAAGAATTAGAATCTTTTTGTAAATTCATTGCTGGTCGAGGAAGTGTTCGAATTTAAGTACCTTACCTTGGGTCCACTCTAATACCAAATGGCCAGGCAAAAGACGATATTATAGCCCGGATCACGGCTGATGTGTTCTTCAGCTTGACGAAACTTGCAGCCGTCGTGAA